GCTCATCCGGGGAGCCAGCGTGCACAGCTGCGTTAGAGCCGGCATTGTGCTGTGCAAACTGCCCATATCCGTGTGCATTTCAGATAAATGTCAAGAATTTGTATTTTTATCTTAAATTGCCTTGCCAGGTGCTAGCCCCAGAACCAGGGAGGATCTCTAAGGAGAACAGAAGTCACCCACTCCAAGCCCTTGTCACCCAGGATTCCCTCACGTGTCCTTTGCTGCCGTGCGCGGGCATCTCGAGCGTGCCCTGTGACATGAAAAGAAAACTTACCAGGACATTGCAGACCCTCAAGGATGAAGCCCGTGCTTGTTTCCACAAACAACAGCCTTATTTTCTCTCTTTCATCCCATTACTTCATGGAAGGAAATGTCTGTACAGACCTGTAAAAAAAATCCAAGAATTTGTGCATGAGCTTCTTCCTCTGGACCCACCGCTCTGCCCCTCTCTGGAGGGAGGTGGCCCAGAGACCTCGGGCCGCAGCTGACCGCTCACCTCCCACAGTACATGACCAATAAGGACCTTTTTTTTTTTTTGCCCCAGAGTTTCTAGTGTGAAGTCCAGCATCGATGACGGGGACAGAAAGCCGGTGCCCGGTGGGCTGCATGAACCGACGCAGCATCACCACAAACCCATCGCCCCCGCCCAGCCTGCGCGTTGGATCTTCCTTTACTATCACATTCACACTAGCGCTGCAAACTAGGGCAATCTAAGACATGGCTCATGGCTACCTACGGGAGGCACTTTTTAGGATGAAGATCAGCCCTTTCTATTTCTCCACTGTCTGCCTACGGCAGGGCGGGTAACGCCCGCCGCGGCACGCGGCTGGATGGGATGCTTTGGATCAGGGTTTTGCTACGCAGGCATCTGAAGTCTGCCCATCCCTGGTTTAGCTCTCGAAATACTTCTTCATATGTCACTTCTTAAGTGTCTTGTCAAAACCACATGAGAAATTTGTAAATTAGAGCCAGAATTAAAACCCCAATCTCCTGTGTCCCATTCCAGCGTCTTAACCAAAAGGCTGCCCTTTCTTTGATGTAAAATAAGGAAAAAATTGGTCTTTGGTTCCTAAAGCATGGCTGTGGGGTTTCTTTGAAGGAGAGGGTACAAGGAAACACTTCTATTACATGCTGTACTGTTTCTTATAAACTCTTTATGAGCCGGGCTTCAGAATAAAAATGCCCTGCTAACTTTCCTAGCAGCTCAGACATTTATCTCTGATAACCTTTTTTTCCCCCCCCCCTTTTCCCATTTTCCTTTTACTTTTGTTGTTGTTGTTGTTTTATTTTTACTTTCAGTTCAACTCCAGCTAAGTGCGGAAAGTGTGGGAGAGGTGTATATAAAGAGCACGCAGTCTGGGCAGTACCTGGCGATGGACACCAACGGGCTGCTCTACGGCTCGGTAAGGAGGAGGTTTGTGTGGGACGAGACACGGAGAGGGTTTGAGGTTTGCAGAAATCTCGTAGCTCTGAGTAATGCAAACCGCAAGCAACAATTAGCCT